TTTGTATCTTCTCAGAAGAAAATGAGAATTTGAAAAACAATAAATAAATTGAGAAGAGATTAATTGAAGGATTACATTATGACTAGCTTGAATACCAAAGACTGAAATAGAAGCCATATTTATAGGCTTTCTACACATGATAATTAATCTATTTTAACTACTAAACAAATTTTTTAAAAAAAAACTGAATTATCAACTACTCAACACTTATCATTCCAGCCCTTATTTATCTTCTTCTTGATGATATCCCCTTCATGATAATTATCTTTAACATCCTCCCTCAAACTAAGTCGGGTTTGGAGACACAGTTTGTTTCTTGAGTGATTCTAACCATGCTTTGGTTGCTTTTCCTGATATATGAATGGTGAGAATGTGAGTGACTTAATGTGTGTTTTTGAGTGGTGTGCTCAAATTGTTGACTGTTAGAAATTTTTGAAAAACAAAATGTATCAATTCCCACTGTTGTGTTAAATTGTTGTATGACAAGTCCAACCTCTTCTTCTGAGAGGAGATCGAACGTTTGCTATAATGTGGATTTTTGTAGATAGCGATATTTTTTCTTTGTCATCTACGTATTTTTCTTTTGTCAACTACAGAATTTTAGTGATCGACATGAGACTTATATTTGATAAGAGGTGGTGGTGATTGAGGGTAAGTCGGATGTTTATGTTGCCTGAGGCTGGTTTTGAGTAAATCTAAGAAGGAAAACCCAGGATGGAGTTTGGGACTTTTAGAATTGGCAATGAGAAATTGTGAAGAAATGTCCCTTTATCATTCCGACCCTTATTTATTTTCTTCTTGATAATATCCCCTTCATGATAATTATTTTTAACATTATCTAGCTGTACTTGTGCTTCTACGTACCTTCCTACTATATCACTGTACTTTTTCCTGTTCAGTTGTTTAATGGAGCTTTCAACCTCTTCAACTTGGTTATCAGTTGAAACTGCTTAGTACCATTCACTTCTTTCTCCACACCTTCTTCACAATTTCATCGAACTCTATCCGTTTCCCACATATTATAATATTTAAATTGCCTCGTCCCAGTAGCATGACTGTGGTTCTATTGCAATACCAGAGGGCAGAGATCAGAAATACTCTCTGGTAATACAGTTACAGAAGATTTACTAAATTTTATCATCCACTCATCAGGAGCCACCATCCTCCAGCAAATTTTTTTTTTTCACCCACTTGCTTATTATTCCAGGTAAAGAGACCCCCTTGCGTTCTTAATTCCTGCATTTGGCAAGTATCCAACATCATTTGAAACTCCTGCATTTCTTGATTTTTCAAAGGTCGACCTCCTACTTTCTCTTCCCATGTTACAATGCAGTTAAAGTCTCCCCCCATCATCCATGGCAACCCTCTTATTTGAAGTTGCATCAGCACCAACCATAATTCTGATCTACACACAATAGTCATATTAAACTCTCTGTTCTCCACCATATCCCTTATCTTATAGTGTACAAGCTGTTCTTTTATCTCCATCACTTCTACTTTAAATTTGTTTTTCTTCCACATCACTAAGATCCTCCCCTTCTGGTTTGGCCCTGTATTCTCCACATATTCATAATTTTCCCACCATCTATTCATCATCTCCTTTGTTTTCTCAGTAGGCAGTTTTATTTCAACTAACCCAATTATTTCCACCTTTTGTCACCTATTAATATTTCCCACCTCCATGTTTTAGGGAGTGATTTAACCCCCTGATATTCCATATCATTATATTACTTATTTAATACTTGGACCAGAATCCATTGGTTCCCTTTCACCCCCTTTCTTCTCTCTCACTCCTACTGCTTGATTCTAGTTCCTCAATTCCCTGTATTTCGGATCACTCTTGGTTGTGATGATCATGATCCAACAATGCCAACAGCTTGACTATTTGCTATGTTCCTTGGAGCTTTCATATTTTGATGCTTTATGCTCTCATTCACATCTTGCTTTCCATTTCTGATCATACTTTCTTTACCAGTCCTCATATGCTCTGTCGTTTGCACCCTTGTGATCTCCATTACCTTATCACTACTATGAGTCTTTCAATGGAACTTCCCACTTCCTCATGCTTTCCCATCACCCTTCCCTCATTTTCTACATTGACTTAAGGGTTTTTAACTTCCATACTAGCTTCATATACATTTTACACTCTTTCTTCATGTGTCCATACCCTTAACACTAACTACACAAAACTGGTTTACATTCATAAACAAGGTTATGCTCTTGTAATCTACCATCCTTATTAACAAATAACACTTTTTCTGGTACACTTTCCTTTATCTCCATTTTGTTACAAGTCATGTCATCCATTTCCTTAGGTTTTCTATCAAACTTATCATTTTACTCAGGGTACTTGGGCTCCAATATTTGAGCTCCAAGTCTGGCAACTGTATCCACACCGACACACTAAATATTTCATCACTTTTAAATCCCTTCTTGACATTCCAATCCTTCACTATCAATGGCTTGCTGCAATAGTGTTGGATTGATTTCAAGGTTGCTTGCTTAGCATGTTCATTCTTCATCTGCACAATGTAATATCCCTTCTCTTGCCTTAAAATCTTTTTGATACCTAATTTTTTCCATATGCGATAGAATCTAGACATAACCTGAAAAGACAAATTAATGCCCATCACACAGCAAACAACTGAATTCTTCCAATACTCAATCTCATTTTCAACATCCTTAGTTGTGACCTGTGCAACCCTTTGATTTTCAATCTCAATTGGCTCAACATATTCCAATTCCAGTCCCATAGCTTTCAGCTTCTCCAGATTAAATCCTATCCACCCCTCATCAGTCCCTTTTCTCTCTTCATCTCCCCAATTCTTATCAGTTATAATCTTCTCAGATTTACTTATAGACCCTCTCCGCATACCAGATCTAGGTAAACTCAATTCATGTAAAGGAGTGAAACGTATACTTTTGGATTCATTGCTTGATTCCTGCATACGTTCTAATGAGTCCCCTTTTTCCCGTGAGCCTTCCCGATTCTCCATTGCCATTTTTTTTAATCCCCTCCTTCTACAGTTCATTTGATGACCTCGTGAAAGCTAGTTGCTCCAAGCTAGCATGTCACTATCCCACATCGGAGAAAGAAGTAACAAATGATCAGTATATAAGCCAAGTTGTCAGTCTACTAAGTAATTTGGGTTAACCATTTTGGGTACAGTAAAGATGAACACCCAAATAATTATTGGGACAGACCCGCCAGATAGGGCATTATAGTTCACCTCTCATTTCCTCGTCAGTTTCCTTCACTTTTCTAATCTCCAATTGCTGCTTTTCACTCTCATTTTATGCTTGATTTTTCCGATTCTTTCATCACAATTCCACCTCTGCCTCTCCATTTGCTATTGCAGGCGTCCAATTAGTGTTTGCCTAGAGAGAAATGAGAGAATTTTGTGACGTCAGCATTTAGAGAGAGAAAAACACAATTCCTTACGTCATAATTAACCAAGAATCTTGATAAAAAATTAACATAAAATTTCATATTATTTATATGGTAAAAGAATAACATTGGCCCTACATTTATTTTTATATTTCAAAAGTTATATAACCTAGAATCTTGATGGGAAATTAACATAAAGTTTCATATTGGATTAATTTCGCCTTAAATATATTTTTGCTCAAATATAAATAAAAAATAATTAAAATTTACTCCCCCATCCCAAAATTATTGTCCAGTTTGTATTTTCATTTATAGTTCAAATTATACTAAAATTAAAAATACAAACTGAACAATAATTTTAGGACGGAAAGAGTATTAACCGATAAATGAAATAAGGATTCTTATTGCAATAAGATTTTCTGTCGCTACAAAAATTCTCGAATACGACAAAATATTCCAGTAAATATCCTCTAAATCATCAATATTATTATCTATGTGCTTGTTTTTAAAAGCAACCTATGAATTTGATTAGTTAAAATATAGAGAATCAAATAACATAATCTTTTCTTGTTCTTTTTTTTCCTTACATTATCCAAAATATTTTTTTAAATTTAATTTCATATAATATTGTGTGTAAATAGGTTGGGCAATATTCCTAATATAGGTCTTGTTTGACCAACTTTTATTTTGCCTTTTTGTCTCATTTTACCTTTCAAACACAAAACTCAATATACTATCCAAACAACATTGTAACTTATCTTTTAAAAAATATTCCAAAAATTATTTTTACAAACTTTTCGTGACCAGCCGGCGGTGGAGGAGGGTGATACGGTGACTGAGGTAGGTGGTGGAGGTGGCCTGTGGTGGTAAAAAATAACATTATTTTAATTAAAACTTTATCCAAATAACTTTTTAAATTTCTCTCAAAACATATTTTAAATCAAACCTCAAATTCAAACAAAAAACTAAACCAAAACACAAAATGAGAGGCTGGCCATACAAGTCCTTAGTCTTCACGAACCAAACGAGGCATAATGCATGTGCACGTGAAAAAGAGAGAAACCAATGCCCGAAAACCACGCCACAAAGAAACATGTCAACTTACAAAATCCCAATTTTGACCCCAGCTCTCATCGTCTAAATGCAGAAGTATGCCAGTCCAAGCCTATTAATGTCATTTCATATTACCCGACATAATCTAGAAGTCACTGTTTCAGATAAAGACGAAAAAGAAGGGGGCATTATATTATTATTTATTAATTCCTTAAATTAAATTTCTAATACTAATTCCTAAAAGTTCTCTCTTTTCCCTTTTTTCTTTTTATTATTTTTTCGTCTTTTCCTTTTCCTTTTCTGAGCTGAGAAATAAATTCGAAACTTCGTTCCTATTTGGCATTTCTGATTTTCCCCCAAAAATCCGATCGATGGTGGAACCTTAGAAGCTAGAAGAAGAAGAGAAAAAGAACACTCAATTTCTCTTCTTTCTCTCTCTATATTTTTTCTTCTGATCTTCGATTTTTTTTACCCTTTTTTTGGCCCAATTTATTTGTAAAATAGTAAATTAATTTTCGATTGAAGCTCGGAAGAGGAAGGAATTTCATCGACCGTGAAGATGTTGTCGTTGCAGAGTGATCCGCGGCAGTATAGCAATAATAATCAGCAAGTGCAGCTCCGGCAGCAGCATCATCAGCATCAGCAGCAGCAATTGTTGCAGCAAGTGGCTGGAGTTTTGAATTATAATAACAATAATAGCAGTAATAATATTGTTAATAATTCTGGCGATAATCATAATAATGGCGTTGGTGGTGATCGGAGGAGCGATCTGGCGTTTTCGTATAATCATAATGAATCTGTTGGTGTTCTACCGTCCTCCGTCAATGTTAAGCAGGAGTTTTTGTCTCGCGAAGGTAATGCTTTCATGTAAAAGATTGTTTTGTTTTAATTGTTTTTTTTTTTTTTTTTATGTTTAGTTTGGTTCATTTTTGTAAGGGGCAAGGCTTTAGTAGTTCCAATTCTGGGAGAAAGTTTGTTGCTTTGATGGCAATTGGATGGATTTTGGGGTTGTTAGGGTTTTAAATACTTTCTGTGTTCAATTAATTTTAGGGCTTTTCATTTGGAGTATTGGGTTTGTGCTCTTGTACTTATAGTTGGTAGTTAATGGTTTGATGATTTTTCTGAACTTTTTGCCAATGTTTTCTGGGATTATGGTATTCGGGAACTGTGGAATAGTTACTTCCTGTTGGGTTCTTTGTTAACCTTTAGTATGCTGCAGAAATACATGATTTTTGAGTTGCTGTAAGTCGGTAATAGTGGCAGTTCCCTTTTAGATGTTTTTTTTGATCAATTGGCAGAAGAATTTATGTACTATAAAATGTGAGACTAGAATCACTACAGTTCAGTGTGATAATTCTGTTTGTAACTGAATAATATATGCATAAGATCTTCTCTATGCTCTCAGGCTTATGAAGGGTAGGTCTTACCGTCAAAATACCATTGCGTTATTTTGTGGACTGACATCAAATTGTTGCAAACTGTATCTACATTGGAATTATGATACAAATTACTCACCTAGCTAGATTCGTAAATGTCTATTAGTTTGGATGCAAGGCAATGTCTTTTCTGTGTCCTATTCTTTTGATAGTTCGCCCTTAGTTGGTCTTCAGATTTCTGCACTACATCCACTTCCTGTGTTAACAATTCGCTAAGAAGGTGGCAACAATTTTGTCCCTCACTGTACATTAAGATTTAATGGATTGTTTATTTGATCCACGTGGTAGACAAATAATAGAAAAAGTATAAAATCCATAGACCTAATAAGTTGGAGGTTTGCTTTTTAAATCGAACAGGAATAAGGTTTATCATTTTGTCATCTGTTCCTTATATGCAAACTGAATGCTTCGGTTTTGCAAGTCTGCCAATGCTAATAGAAGCATCTGATTCAAGAAATTTTCTTGTCATTTAATTTCTATAATACATTACTTTTACATTATGTTCTGAGATGTACTTTTTTTTGTGATAATTCTGATTATTTGTATTTTGGGAATTCCTGTGTTTCAGTAGATGAAGATATGGTCTTGGCGATGGCTCATCAAAATTACAAAGCAGGGAACTATAAGCTTGCTTTAGAGCAAAGCAAGGCTGTTTATGAAAGAAACCCACGCCGTACTGATAATCTTCTTCTACTGGGAGCTGTATATTATCAGGTGATTGTTATTTCTAATCTAGACATTCTATTGATGACCTATACTTTTCGTTCGGATGTCATACTGGGACATACTGAGGTGTAACTTATGGTCTCTGCTTTAGCTTCATGATTTTGAAGAGTGCATTAAAAAGAATCAGGAAGCTATTGCTATAGATCCACATTTTGCGGAGTGTTATGGTAACATGGCGAACGCTTTGAAGGTAAAATCTGAATGCTCATGATTGTATGGCAAAGTCAGTTTTGTATCGTAAGCATTAATAATTTATTATTATTATTATTATTATTATTATTATTATTATTTTTTTTTGATATGTTGTTCTCTATGTGCAGGAGAAAGGCAACATTGATCTTGCAGTTCAGTATTATTTAGTTGCAATTGAGGTATGTGTGCTTGGAGTATCCGAGTATTTTCATGTTATGTTTATTGGCTACTTATCGCCCAATATGCTAGTTTTAATAACTTCCAGTAATTGAATCTCTCGTTCTCTACCTCCATGTCCTTCAGTAGGTATGTGGTTTTTTTCATGTTCTCTTCTCGCTATCGTTGTGGAGTGTTCTACTTACGGCTTTATTCCATCAATCAAACATATATATGATTTGGAAATCTCTTGTGTTGGAATTGTTGACAGAAATAATATGTCGAACATTGTCGTGGTTTAATTGCCCCTAATGTGATTTACAGCAGAGCGCCACAAGATTCACTGATTCAAAACAAAATTACTAACCAACATAGTTGCTATTTTTCCTCTGTGATCTGCGATGTTTTGTTTTCAAATCTTTTAAGCTAAATAAGATTCACTGAGACATCACAGTTTTGTTGAGGCCTGAATTTGATTTTAGTTGGAACGACGGCATCTTTCGTTAAAAAACCCTCCATTTTGCTCATATAGTTTTCTTGTCTTGAACCATAAGATACTGGCCGCTTTGTCATGTTTTATGAATCCCATGCTTTGAAGGTAAATGAAGTTATGTTGAAAAATTTTTGCAGCTTCGACCTAGTTTTGCGGATGCTTGGTCAAACCTAGCTAGTGCATACATGAGAAAAGGAAGACTTAATGAAGCAACCCAGTGTTGCCGTCAGGCTCTTGCATTGAATCATCGTCTTGTAAGTTCTTCTCGGACTCAATTACTTCGTTAAATTCTATTGCTTGGCTTATTGAATATCTTTTTTGCTTCGTCTGTTGTATACCGCAGGTCGATGCTCATAGTAACCTGGGAAATCTAATGAAAGCACAAGGATTGGTGCAGGAGGTACAATAGCATCTCAATTGATTTCCTTTTATCTTCATGGGCAGTTTCCTTTTGATGTTTACATCTTTGTAATTTCATGCAAAAATTTGCTTTGTTTTGTTTAGCTAGAGTCGAAGCCTCTTACTGGTTTAAGCTATTGGATTCCTTGACGCAATTATGCTACTTATAAACATTCTCACCTTACAAATTTATATCTTTAATACTTCACCTGAATGTTGGCCTATCTTGTATATATTGCTAGTTTGGAGTGGCCTGGAGTAGATGTTTCATTTTTCGTTGATATTTGTTAGTTCTTTTAGTTTTGAGTAGGTCTTTTATGGATACCACTTGTTTATGGTCCCATCCCATGGCTTCCTTTCAGCGTGGTTGCATGTTGACTTTTATCCGCGTTATTGTGTAGGCATACAAGTGCTATTTTGAGGCTCTCCGAATACAGCCAACTTTTGCTATTGCATGGTCCAATCTTGCTGGCCTTTTCATGGAGGCTGGCGATCTGAATAGAGCTTTGCAGTATTACAAGGTATCCCTGTTTCTTCTATACTATATGTTCGGGATTGCTATTTTTAAAATTTTTATATTTTATTATTCATTTTGGGTTGTGGTTTCTGACAGCCTCTTTGACTTTTTTCTTTTTCCTCCCTTTTTTGCCCTTAAATACAGGAAGCAGTCAAGCTGAAACCAAATTTTGCTGATGCTTATTTGAATTTGGGTAACGTGTACAAGGTAAGTCTCTATGCATTGTGCTTGTTACATCAGGTAGCTGCCAATGCAAGGGCCAGAATCCGGCAAAATACAAGCTCTTCTTTGCATTTTCCAGGCTTTGGGGATGCCTCAGGATGCAATGATGTGTTATCAGCATGCTCTGCAAGCCCGACCAGATTATCCTATGGCCTATGGTTAGTGTTCCCTTGTTGAGATCTTTCTGTGCTCGGTTTTCCATTGTCTAACCTGTGCTGTAAATATAACTTGCACACTTGTGCTGTTGGTATAACTTGCACAACATGAACACAAATACCTTCGGTACTGATCAAGTGATGGTACTTATTACAAGGCTCTCTGCACAGAGCTCCCTTGAAATTCTATTTGACGAAAATAGTTGCAACTTTTTGAAATTGTTGAATAAGTTCGAACTTTTATATATTATCTGCAGGCAACCTGGCTAGTGTTTACTATGAGCAAGGCAACCTTGATATGGCTATCGTCCATTATAACCGAGCTATTGCTTGTGATAGTGGATTCTTGGAGGCGTATAATAACTTGGTTTGTTCTTTGTCTGACTGTAGTTCTCAGTATCTTGCTTATGATATATGTAATCAAAGAATTTCTTTTTAATTAAATTGTACTTTGTTCTATCCATGTGTAGGGCAATGCTCTGAAAGATGCAGGAAGAGTAGAAGAAGCAATCCAGTGCTATCGCGTATGTTCCTTTGTGCTAAGCTTATCAATTCATTTTTCTTTCTTGACTCAAATCCAATGCTCATCACCATGTCGCTCTGTGTAGCAATGCCTTTCTCTCCATCCCACCCATCCTCAAGCACTCACAAACCTTGGGAATATATATATGGAGTGGTGAGTTGATTCTGCATCTGTTCTTTTCCATCTTGATGATTCCAAGCATTCATCTTGATCTTCAATTTTTTCTTTCAAAACTATTATATGGATCTAGTAATGCTAAACTTGTCTGTTACTGTAGGAACATGATGGGTGCGGCTGCACAATGCTACAAGGCTACAATAACTGTGACGACAGGACTTTCTGCACCTTATAACAATTTAGCAATCATTCACAAGCAGCAGGTAAATGCTATATAGTTGTGAATATAATATATAGACGACCACTGAGAATTGGCAATAGTGCAGTTGTAGTAGGTGTTGGACTTTCTGCACCTTATAACAATTTAGCAATCATTCACAAGCAGCAGGTAAATGCTATAGAGTTGTGAATATAATATATAGACGACCACTGAGAATTGGCAATGGTGCAGTTGTAGTAGGTGTTGGATTTCGAGTAGGATTTTGCTACCCTTCAGTCTCATAGCTGGTTTTATCTTGAGAGAAGGAAGTGAATGCTATTGCATTGTGTTAAACGGTAAATCTTTGTTAAAAGCATTTTACTGAATCACCTTCTTTCAACTGCAGGGTAATTATGTGGAGGCAATATCTTGCTACAATGATGTTCTGAGAATTGATCCTATGGCGGCTGACGGTCTTGTCAATCGTGGTAATACTTACAAGGAGATCGGAAGAGTTTCTGAAGCTATACAGGATTATGTACGAGCTATCAGTATTAGGCCTACAATGGCCGAGGCTCACGCAAACTTGGCTTCAGCTTACAAGGACAGGTGTGAAATACTTAGGGTCGTTGTCAGCTTTCAATTTGTTGTTTCATAGATTGACCGTCTCTGCCTAACTCACTAATTTTTCTTGTATTTACATTAGTTGTCACGTGGAGGCAGCCATCAAGAGTTACAAGCAGGCATTAATATTACGCCCAGATTTTCCTGAAGCAACCTGTAATCTTCTCCACACTTTGCAGGTTCACGTTCAGTCTAGCTTGCATCAACATGATTATTGCCTCTTATCTTGTTTTGAGCTTTATGCTATCTGTTTAAACGACCAGGCTCTTGTTCGATGTATAAAACTGTGTAGATGCATGTTTTGTTCTGTATTCTAAGTTATGAATGCTGCTGTTTCTGTGTGATGGCAGTGTGTTTGTGATTGGGATAATCGAGAGAGAACATTCATTGAAGTTGAAGCCATACTGCGAAGACAGATAAAGGTATCCAGAAAGTTTTTCTTAATACTGTGGTGGATGTTGTTTTAGTTCTCTTACATTGATTATTTTTCATCTTAGATGTCAGTAATTCCAAGTGTGCAGCCTTTCCATGCAATTGCCTATCCCCTTGATCCAATGCTTGCTTTGGATATCAGGTAAGAATTTGCTACTGATGTATTTGTAAATTACTTAAAAGTTTGAGTCCTCGAATGGCTGGGGTCATCATCTTTTTTTTTGGTTCAGCCGGAAGTATGCTGCACATTGTTCAGTGGTTGCAGCTCGTTATTCACTTCCTCCATTCAAACATCCTGCTCCATTACCCGTAAAAGGGGGAGGTAGAGTTGGCCGTTTAAGAGTTGGGTACGTCTCCTTGACATCATAGATAATCCCTTCTCTAAACAATTACAGAAACATCCTTGACATCATAGATAATCCTTGACATCATAGATGTGTGTTTTAACCATATTATGTTTTACAGATATGTGAGCAGTGACTTTGGGAACCATCCCTTGTCACACCTCATGGGTTCTGTATTTGGCATGCACGACAGGGATAATGTAGAGGTCTGAAAGCTGATTTTGTTTCCTTGTTTTTTTCCTTTGTCTTATGTTTCTGCCTTTCTGGTGATTTTGTTTTTTCTTTGGGAAAGAAAGCAACTAAGATCTATGGTTTTTTCCAGGTGTTTTGCTATGCTTTAAGTCCTAATGATGGGACTGAATGGAGGTTGCGAATCCAGTCGGAAACTGAAAATTTTAAGGATGTGTCTTCCTTGTCTTCTGATATGATTGCCAATTTGATTAATGATGACCAAATACAAATCCTGATTAACCTTAATGGATATACTAAGGTACTTTGGTTATTATTTCTTTCAGCAATCTGAAATCCTTTCTTTGGGGAAATCAAATTGAAATTCTTAGTTTTTGACTCCTACATTTTAAATTGCTGCATTTGATTCCCCATTTCCCCTTGTCTTTTCTCGGATGTCTATGTTCCTTATTCTTTTTGTGCGTGTTGTTTACTTTCTTTGCATATGCCTGTGTTTGCCTAAGGGCTTCTGACTTCTTGAAGCTCCCATAATCTGCAAACCTTGTTTGCAGACACAAATATGAATATGTGACACCACTGAATTATTGTTACAGGGGGCACGGAATGAAATATTTGCCATGCAACCAGCTCCCATCCAAGTTTCATACATGGGGTTTCCTGGGACTACGGGAGCAAGCTATATACATTATCTGGTCACAGATGAGGTATTGTTCCCCCCTCTTTGTGCTGTTGTGACAGTCTTAGTTTGTTGTGTTTGTGTACTGTGGCAAAGTTCAGTTATTTGTTTTTTCTCTGCAGTTTGTTTCGCCTATGCGTTATTCACACATTTATTCCGAGAATCTTGTCCACCTGCCGCATTGCTATTTTGTAAATGATTATAAGCAGGTAATCTTTTTCACTCTTGCATCTACTTTACTTTTCCAAAATTGATTATAAGCAGGTAATCTTTTTCACTCTTGCATCTACTTTACTTTTCCAAAATTGATTATAAGCAGGTTTACCGGGAGTTTTTGACTTGTGTATCGCTGTTCTTTCAGAAAAACTTGGATGTTCTAGATGCAACTTCTCAACCAAAGAGGTCGGATTATGGCCTACCAGAAGACAAATTCATATTTGGTTGCTTTAACCAGCTTTACAAGATGGATCCTGAAATTTTCACAACTTGGTAAGCTCCATATGAGAATTTTGTTTATAGTGAGTTATGGAAATATTGTACTTCTTCTAATGTGGGCTGGTGCAGGTGCAACATTCTCAAACGTGTACCAAACAGTGCTCTCTGGCTACTGAGGTTTCCAGCCGCAGGCGAGATGAGGCTCCGTGCATGTATGTACTGTATTTGGATTAAAGTCTCTTTTATTGACAACTTCTACTTCAATTTTTGTACGACACACATTTTCATCTTGCTACTGTAGGTTACTAGTAAAAACATCTAATGCATTGTCTGTATTGTTTAGATGCCGCTGCCCAAGGAGTGCAACCAGACCAGATCATTTTTACTGATATTGCTATGAAACAGGAACACATTCGACGCAGTTCCTTAGCTGACCTTTTCCTTGATACGTATGTGCACTGTCACTTGTTTTCTTAACATTGAATGTTTTGAAGGATCTTGCCCATTGAGTAATATGTATTTGTCATTTTGTTTAGGCCATTGTGCAATGCTCACACAACTGGGACTGATGTTCTTTGGGCTGGTTTGCCCATGGTAACTCTCCCCCTGGAGAAAATGGCAACCAGAGTTGCTGGATCATTATGTTTGGCTACTGGTGTCGGCGAGGAAATGATTGTGAACAGGTGTGTTATTTAAGACATTTGTTATCGCCTACTTAGTGCATCTGCAGATTTTTAAATTTGAGGCAAATAAGACTGTCAACATCCATTATCTTATATCATTGGTATGTGTATACTACGTAGATTATTTCTTGTTAGAAACAACTGTGCATGCTTCCATTATTTCTCAGCATGGGCTGTTGGTGTGTTTTTCTCTTTTCCTTTTACTCCCATTGTCCTCTTAATCTCTTTGTTTGTTTGTTCTATTTGGTATGTGCTAGTTTTACCGCATCTAAATTTCTTTCTGGATCGTTGATTACTTGTTTTACTCCAATTTTGGTTACTGATACAATGTTTCTAACTTGAAGCATGAAAGAGTACGAGGAGAAAGCTGTGTCACTTGCTCTTAACCGACCTAAGCTCAAGGATCTTACCGAAAGACTCAAAGCTGCACGTATGACGTGTCCTCTATTTGATACCAAAAGATGGGTGAGTGAAATCCAATTAGCCACAGAGACATGCTCAAGTTGTTTGATCAAGGAACACTCTTTTCTTTGCCCTGCCAAGTTGTGTTTGTCTATGCTTACGTCCAGTAAAGCTTCATCATCTGTGTTAAACAGAGATTTGACTCAGATTGGCTTATTTTCAGGTTCGGAATTTGGAACGTGCGTATTTTAAGATGTGGAACATTCATTGCTCTGGCCTGCAACCGCAACACTTCAAAGTGGCTGAGAATGACGTAGAATTTCCCTATGATCGATAGATAATTTATTGGTTGTAGGGAGAGAGAAACGGGAATGTAAATAAGGCAACGAGAATATGAGATTTATAACCAGTATTAGATTAGATTGGGTGTACTTATATGATATTACACGATTAAGCTTCTGAGAATCATATACAGATTGCTGTCCATTTCACCTGTGGTTTAATGCATCTCAGAACTTGTCTCCTTCCTTCCTATTTCACTTGTGACCAACCTACAGCAGCACTAAGAAGGTCTCGGTGGATTTACCAGTTCTACTACCCAAAGACGTGGTAAGAGTTGTGAGGTTCAAAAAGCGCTCGAAAGTAAGCGCCTTACGTCTTCTTCCCGATCTATATTAGTATTTTCCAAAGAAGAAGAAGAAGAAAATAAAAAAGACAATTATAATTCTAGTAGGATTGGCGAAGTCAAGGATTATGAGGTTAGGAGAGAATAGTAACTGGCTGTCTGAACCCTTTCAGTTGGTGATTGCCCAAGTATGTGAAAGAGGGGTAATGCTCAATGAAATTGTGAAAGGAAAGTTGAAATGAAAGTAAAAATGTTTTTATTTCAATTGCCAAGACATAGGGAAGACCTCTGCTTATACTCCCTTTTATCTCAAAATTATTATCCAGTTTGAGATTTCATTTTTAGTACAATTTGAACTAAAAATGAAAACTTAAATAAGATAATAATTATGGGTCGAAGGGAGTACAAGTCAACACCCTTTTCTTTTTCTTCTCCCAACAAGGAGGGGACACGGTAACTAGTGAAGTGGTTCGAAAGTTCTTTACATTTAATCAATAATCTATTTTATACAAATAACAAAAAATAACAGAAATTAGTTTTGTTACTTTAGCATTTACATTGCTAATTAGCTTAAGAATGTCTAGTACACACGATATAATCTGATCAACCAAGATGCCGCTCTGCTAATGTGTTTGGATTAGGTTTTGTTTTCATTGATCCTTTTACAAATCAAAACATGATTATTAGGTACGTGGAGAATGAATGCACATGCAAAATCCAAACGGATAAGCAATTACGAGTGCGAGACGACCCCATTGACTTCACTTCTTTCATTTCCATAAGTCAAGTTTCTCCACAAACCACAAAGGACTTCATTCATCAATCTTCAATCCCAAGTTACTCAATCTTACACAAAAGAGGAAAAAGAGACGTAAGAAATCAGAAATGGCGGATGCAGTTATTGGAACCACAGTAAAAGTTATGTTAGAGAAAGCGATTTCTCTTGCCACTGATAGGATTTCTTTGGCGTTGGGATTCAAGAAGGAATTGGAAGCTCTTGGAGAATCGGCGAAAATGGTCCAGGCTGTCTTGGCTGATGCAGAGGATAAGCAAACCGGAAGCGAGTTGGTGCGGATTTGGCTGGAAGATGTTGAAAGTCTGGCTTTTGAGATTGACAACATTTTCAGCGAGATCAAGTACGAGACTCTTCGTCAAGAGGTGAAATCCATGAACAAATCCAAGTTGGGAAAGGTAAGTTTGCCCTTTTCCTCTGCTACACATGATATTTCATTTCGTCTAAGTATGAGTTCTAAGATTAGAGAAGTCAACAAGAAGTTGATTAGCTGCAATCTGAAAGCCTCGGAGTTTGGATTAATCAGAAATGCATTGCTCCATTCATCAGCTTCAACTAGTAGCAATAATATTGCTAAATTCCTTGAAAACAGAGAAAGCAACTCTGTTTTGCCAGAGTTTATAGCAGGAAGATCCAAAGAAGAATCTGAAATTGTGGCGATTCTGTTGGACTCATCTGATCAAGTTGCTGTTACCGTTCTTCCCATTGTTGGAATGGGTGGATTAGGTAAAACCACTTTGGCAAAATCAGTGTACAACAACCCACAAATTGTCAATCACTTTTCTAAAAGAATTTGGATTTGTGTGTCGGAGAATTTTAAAGTAACGGAGCTGTTCAGATTGATTTTCGAGTCACTAAGAGGAGGACAGGTTATGATGTCTAGTCAGGAGGCTATAGTTAAACAGATTCGGACAGAACTACGCAGGGAAAAATTTCTCTTAGTTATCGACGACATTTGGAATGAGGATCCCGAGTTGTGGGAAGCCTTCTTTGGTTCTTTGGTAGGGATTAGCACCCGCAATGGAAGCTGCTGTCTATTGACTACTCGTCTATGGACAACAGCCCGTCTCGCGTCTCCCAGTGATCCTTATGTTCTGAGAAAGCTGAAAGATGATGATTGTTGGTCTATTCTTTCTCAGAAGGCAACCTTTGATGGAAAAATGCCAGAGGAATTGGATGTCCATAGGAACCAAATCTTGAGGAGATGCGGAGGATTACCTCTAGCTGCAAAAGTCATTGGAGGGCTGCTTCGTTTGCAAAACAAAGAGGATTGGCTTTCAATTGTGGAATCTAAGATTCTGAAGCTTGACGGTAATCATGAAGGTGACAATGGCATTATGCAAGTACTCAAGTTGAGCTTTGACTACCTGCCATCTGTATCAATCAAGAGATGTTTCGCTTATCTATCAATATTTCTGAAAGATGTCGGAATGATAGGAGATGAACTCATCCAACTTTGGATGGCAGAGGGTTTTCTTGATGAACCGGATGTGGGAACAGAAACGTTAACATTGGAGGAAATAGGCGGTAACTATCTTAGAATTTTGGTGCAGAGTTCCTTGTTGGAGGAATCAGCTTATGATGTTAACACAGGCCAAGATTATAAAATGCATGATCTTGTTCATGACCTTGCAGAACTAGTTTCCAAGACAAAAGTATCTATATTGAATAATCATGTGTTAATGGTTAAGAACAATAAGGGGCGGTATCTTGCACTAGGCTCAGTTGAAAGAGCGAAGGAACCGATTAACAAACAAATTGTTCGAACATTGTTTGTGAATGATGGCATATCTGGAGAAGTGTTGTCAAAATTTAAGCACCTGCGGGTGCTGAAATTTCCAAATGGAATGAAACATTGTTTGCTCTCCCTTCACAAATTGAAACATCTATGCTTTCTTGATATTACACATCCCAACGTGAAGGTGTTGCCCGAATCTCTTTGCAAGCTTTATAATCTCCAGACATTGTTCTTAGGTCACAGTAATAAGTTGCAAGGTCTTCCGCGAGGGATGAAAAATTTAATCAGTTTGAGGCATCTTTACTATTTCACATCTGATGAAAAGTTTCAAATGCCGAAAGAGTTGGGAAGGTTAACAAGTCTTCAGACTCTAGAGTTCTTCAACATAGGAGAAACTAAGGGTTGTCGAATCAAAGAACTCGGATGCATGAAAAATCTCAAAGGTAGTCTTGAGATACGCAATCTGGAATTGGTAAAGGGTAAACAAGAAGCACAATCGGCAAATTTGGCTGAGAAGAAAAATTTGATTAGGTTAAGCTTGGATTGGAACAGCACAAACCGTCATGGGGCTGACAATTATGATGAGCATGTGTTGGAAGGCCTCAAACCTCACCCAAAATTACAACACTTTACTGTTAGGGGGTTTATGGGTAATAAGTTCCCGGACTGGCTAGGGAAGTTGTCGCGGCTGGTCGAATTGCGATTGAGCAATTGCGATAATTGCACTCGACTTACATCACTTGGAAATCTGCCCTGTCTAGAAAGTCTTCACCTAACTAGAATGAGGAATTTGATTGAATGGAAAGAAGCAGAAGAAGGTGATGATGACGTTGTTCTATTTCCTAAGTTGGAAGTATTGTATATTAGTGACTGTTGCCAGCTGGTAGTATGTCGACCTCGTTTCCCAAGTCTTCGTCGGTTGAAAGCAGAGGGAAATGTGCAACCATTGGTAGTCAAAGATATTCTTCTTACAAGCAGTGTATCTAGTGGTGTTCTGGAGTTTATAGACATAATTGGAATGGGTGGACTGGTTAGTCTTTCAGATGTGGTTAATATTCCTCTCACTTCTCTTAAAAACCTTGCCATTTCAAGATGTGATGAATTGACTAGTATTCCGAGTGGAACCCTAGAAGGATGCAGATCTCTTGAGTGTATTCGCGTTACCGAGTGTCCAAATTTGGTGTCATACCCGCTTGATTTGCAGCAGATACCTTCTCTTTCAGTTCTTGACATTCGCCCAAAATTATTCACTCAAAAGGATATGCCCAGAGGATTCAGTCACCTCACCAACTTGGAGGAATTGTGGATTGGTTCTTTCTCAGACGATTCAATTGATTTATTCGACTGGCAAGGATTGTTATCCTGTTCATCCACACTCAGAACCCTACATTTATGTGGGTCGCATCAAATGCCTACTCCGCTGCTGCCGCATCAGCTCCGAAACTTCACTTTCTTAACAAGTTTAGGTCTTATGGATTTTGGATTTTAGAAAGTGTACCTGAATGGTTGGGCGACTTTGTTTCCCTGGAGAGCCTCTGCCTAATGAACTGTCCAAAACTTCACCATTTACCCTCCTTGGATGCCATGCGACGCCTAACCAAATTAAGATCGTTGGTGCTTTGGGGTTGTCCTCTTGTACGAGAAGCATGTGAGCGTGATCGGTTTCGCCCTAACTCATATTGGTTCCAGCTCTCTTCCCAATGTAGTTGTATGACCTATTAAAGCTTCATCACGTGATTAGGTTTTTTATTGTCATCTGTCTAAAGAATTGTCCAAAACTTCAGTACTTACCTTCTTCCAGTTCCTTTTGTTTATTTTCAAATTTGTGCTCTCCGATTGGTCTTATTCGGTCTACATATAAGTAATCTTTAAGAGAGAAAAAATGTGAAAGATTTAGACCAATCACTTCAGTGTGACATAAAGGACTACTTTTCTCTTTTGGAAAATGTCCAAATGGTTCCTTACATTTGGACTTACTTGATTTTACGTCCCTAACATTAACATTTCAATATCGTAGTCCCAAACATTATATTTTTACACTTTTTTGGTCCCATTTCACTGTTTCGACCACTTTTCTGTCCAACTCGATGTTGACCGTAGTTGACTTGCCGGAATCAGGGATATTTTCGTCTTTTAACTTAATTTAAACTTTTATTGAAATTTAAATCATTAAAAATATCATAAAATTCACATATAATTATTTAATTGCTAAAATATTATTCATTAATTTAAAAAATTTTATAAAATTTAAAACTTACATTATTTTTAAAAAAATTCTTTTTTCTATTTATCATTTATGCTGGATACAAAATAAATATTAATTACGTTCCATTTTTAACTCTATATCACTCAAAAATTTTACCGCGCTACAGTAACTAATTCAAAATTCAATTTTTTGTTTAAAAAGAAAAAGCAAACTAAATTTTTTATCCGAATTTTCACTTATCAATTTTTTATTCGGTCGAAGTAAAAAATCCAGCGGGCCCAAAGAGAAGGAAATTGAGGGGGCGAAAATCCGGATAATGTATGGTTATTTTTATTAATAGTTTGAATTGGAGATATAATTTAAAATGTGGTTTTAGTGAAAATTCAAAAACTTGTTGGGATAGAAATTCAAATAAAATAATATTATTTTTACACCTCGCCGGAATATGGCCGGCTGGTCGCCAGCCGATGGCGGTCCGGCGGCGGCAGGAGGTGGTCCGGTAGCGGACGGCGTCGGTGGAGGTGTAGAGGTGGTGGTGTATAGATAATATTATTTTATTTAAATTTCTACCCAACAATTTTTTGAATTTTCACTAAAACTACATTTTAAATTATATCTTCAATTCAAAGCAATAACTAAGCGAAAAACTTAAAATAAACCATTTTTTATCCAAATTTCACCCCACAATTTTCTTGCATTTTTTTTAAAAAAATTTGAATTTTTAATTAATTATTATAGCGCAGTAAATTTTAGAAATAACTCAAGATTTATTGTAGCTGTCAAAGTAAAAAATCTTGATTCTGTTTTATTGTTTTTTTAATTTAAATTTTGAATTATTTATTGCGACTCGGTAAATTTTTAAAATTACAGTGGGCAGTTAAAATCGCAACATAATTAACATTTATTTTAGTAAAGAAAAAAGTAACTTTGAAAATAATTTAAATTTTGAAATTTTAAAATAATATTTTAAATTAATAAATAATATTTTAAGAATTAAATAATAAATGTGAATTTTTATCATATTTTTAATGATTTAATTTTTAATGGAAGTTTAAATTATATAAAAAGACGAAAATACCCCTGATTCTGGCATGTCAACTGCCGGTCAACATCGAGTTGGACGGAAAAGTGGTCAAAACAGTGAAATGGGACCAAAAAAGTGTGAAAACATATTGTTTGGAATTACGATATTGAAATGTTAATGTTAGGGACATAAAATCAAGTAAGCCCAAATGTAAGGGACCATTTGGACATTTTAGTCTTTTTGTTTTCTATGAATTGGTCAAGTGTCGGGCTGAGTGTTAACTTTTGGAAAACTGGTGTTCATAATGATCTCCTACTTTTCTCTTTTGGATTTTTTGTTTTCTTTGAATTGACGTGTCGGGCAAAGTGTTAACTTTTGGAAAACTGGTGTTCATAATGATCTCCATATCTCAACTGATACATGCAAAGCAAGGTTTAACTTTGGAGTTCTGGTGATTAATCCTTTTTTTTTTTTCTTTTTCTTTGGATTGAATAATTGGCCTCTTTTTCCTAGCATTAGGATGCATGTTTCAGAGATCTTTTCTTGTAAAATTTAAAGTACTCCATTTCAAATTCAAGGCAAGAACAAATGTGCCTTCAACAATAGAGGCTTGGAAAATTTTGTGCTATCTGTTATGGAGATGATCGCAACTCTCGTCCAACCTTCTCCAAACATTCCGGTGGAGGTTGTAGAAGAATTCCGCAAGGAATTCAATCGGTAGTAATCCGATCAGGGGAAGCATCATGATCTGTGAGCGAGATTTGGCTCACAAATATTCTTAGGGTTTTGAGTGAATAGAATGAACAAATTTGGGAATTAAAAGAAACGCGTTTAATGTGTCTGAAAACATATGCCATTAAGTGTCCTGATTCTGTATTTATACATGCTAAGGCAGTTTGAGTTGAGTAACTGTCATAGTGTAAATGACTAATCTGTCCTTACTGACAGGCTTATAGCACTATATAAAAGAGGATATATCAGTACAAACACATGTACAAGTTTGAATGTTTGAATATGGAATTCCCGCTATTATCACTGCATGCATATCCATCGACACAGGATGAGCATCACCAGTCACTGAATGCACATCATGTTGCTGATCCTGCTTTGATTCTAGCTGATCATCAGACTGTAATTCCTTCACACCCCCCTCAAGATGAGCCGGGGGTGAATCCCAAAGGCTCATCTTGCCTAATAAGTAATGGAAAGCTGGAGCAGCAAGAGACTTGGTAAACAAGTCTGCTAACTGAGAGGAAGAAGGAAGATGAGAAGGAGAGATGAAACCTGCCTTGTATGCATCTCTAACATGGCAATCAATCTCAATGTGCTTGGTTCTTTCATGGAAGACCGGGTCAGCTGTGATGTGGAGAGCTGCTTTGCTGTCACACCAAAAAGCAATAGGGAAAGAAATAGGAATAGACATATCTTTCATGACATAAGTCAGCCATTTCAGTTCTTGAACAGTTGCTGCCATAGCTCTATATTCTGCTTCAGTTGATGAAGTCGAAATAGTAGCCTGTTTCTTTGTTTTCCAGGAAATAAGAGAGGAGCCCAAGAAAATGCAATAGCCAGTTAAGGAATGTCTGCAGAATTCACAAGATCCCCAGTCGGCATCTGAATAGAATGTGAGAACAGAATCAGAAGAGGAAGAATAGAAAAGTCCTTTGGAAATAGTACCATTCAAGTATCTGAGAAGATACATAGCTGCATTCCAGTGTGATTCATGAGGGGCATTCACAAACTGACTCAATTGCTGAATGCCATAAGTCAAATCAGGTCTGGTAAAGCTGAGATAGAGAAGTCTGCCTACAAGTCTTCTGTAAGCAGCAGGATCTGAGCAGAGAGGTGTTGGATCTTTTTTCTTGAACTTGAGATCCCTTGGAAAAGGAGTGGCAGTGGGAATAGAGTCTAACATGCCAGTATCCCTAAGCAAGTCAGTGATGTACTTTGTTTGAGATAAGTACATCCCTGCATCATTTCTTGCAATCTACATACCCAGGAAATACTTTGCAGGTCCTAAATCCTTGATAGTAAAAGCCTGATCCAACAATTATTTTACCTTAGAGATCTCTTCTTCATGAGAACCTGTGATGATAATATCGTCAACATAGACCAAGAGAATAAGTAGGAGGCCTGGTTTCTTCAAGACAAAAAGGCAGGAGTCATGATGAGACTGAGAGAAACCATAAGAGATCAAGAGAGAGGTGAATTCACCGTTCCACTGTCTAGATGCCTGTTTGAGGCCATAGAGAGATTTCTTCAGTTTACAAACAAGAGAAGTACCAGCTTTATCATAACCAGGAGGAGGGACCATGTAAATATCTTTTTCCAAATGACCATGAAGGAAGGCATTGTTGACATCCATTTGGTAGACAGGCCATCCAGAGACAACTGCCAATGCCAAGAACAATCTAACTGTTACTGTTTTAGCAACATGTGAGAAGACCTCAAAGAAATCCTCTCCTTCACTTTGGTTGTAGCCTTTTGCAACCAACCGGGCTTTATATCTCTCAACAGTACCATCTGAGTGACACTTGACCCTAAAAACCCATTTACAGCCTATAGCTTTCTTGCCAGCAGGTAAGGGTGTAAGATCCCATGTCTGGTTGTCTTCTAGTGCTTTCAGTTCTTGTTGCATGGCCAGTTCCCACTTCTCATTAGTTCTGGCTTGATTGTAAGTCTGTGGTTCCTGAATATCTGACAAGTTTGCGAAAAAAGACGTCTGTGGAAGAAAAATGACATGTGGAAGAAGAAGGAGTCACTAAAGATACGAAAGTGTTAAGTTTAGATGGGGGCTGAATATAATCTGTAAGTCTGATAGAAGGTTTTCTGTTTCTAACAGTCCTTCTTGGAGCATCAGGAACAAAAGATGGAGAAGAAGGAAGTTCAGGTTGTGTTTCACAATGAGTGGAAGGGTGATCTAATGAAAGATCATCAGGCACATAAATATCTGTAGGTATATGAAATGGTGAAGAACTGGAAGGAGAAGGATCAGGGAAAGAAGGAATAAATTCTAATGTAGAAATAACAACATGATCAGGATCTTCAACAGAATCTGTGATCACGTTTGGTAGTACTTAATCTGAATTTGTGACTGAAGTGCTCTTGTAAGGAAACAAATGCTCATGAAAAATGACATCTCTAGAAATGAATATCTTCCTGAGTTTAGGACTATAAATCTTATAGCCCCTTTGCCCTGGTGGATAACCAACAAAAACCCCTTGAATGGATCTAGGATCAAATTTATCCTTATGAGGACTAGTATTAACAGCAAAGACTTGACAGCCAAAAGTTCTAAGAAGGCTTAGTGAAGGTGGTTTATTATATAGTAACTCATAGGGTGTTTTCCACCCAAGGACAGAAGAAGGTAGTCTGTTTATCAAGAAAGTGGCAGTCAATATAGCTTCCCCCCATAACATTTTTGGCATTGAAGCTTGGAAGAGTAAAGACCTAGCCACTTGCAGCAGATGTTTATGTTTTCTTTCCACCACTCCATTTTGTTATGGTGTATAAGGACATGATTTTTGGTGAATTATACCCAATCGGGAGAAGAGATTCTGTGTTTCAAGGCTGAGAAACTCTGTGCCATTGTTAGATCTAAGGATTTGAACTTTCTATTGAAATTGTGTTTGTATAAGATTGAAGAAGTGACATAAGGTACTATAGACTTGTGTTTTATGTTTAAGAAGAAATGTCCAGGTGCTTCTACTGAAATCATCCACAACTGTAAGAAAGAATTGTGTATGAGTAAGAGAAGGTTTACTGTATGGCCCCCATAAATCTACATAGATCATTTCAAATATTCTACTAGTTTGAATTGTACTATTAGGAAACACATTTCTGTGTTGCTTTGACAAAGGACACACTTCACAATCTGAAATATTATTGATTTTATCATCCAACAAAGTCTTACAGGGTTCTATATATCTCATCAACAAAGTCTTACAGGGTTCTATATATCTCATCACTGTATCTGATGGATGCCCTAAACGATTATGCCATGTAACCATACTTACATTGGCACTAATTTGTCCTTTTGTACTGTAATCATAAAAGTATGAATCAACTCTTCTAGAAATAGAAAACAGTAATTTTGAATACAAAGTCTGAGACTGTTGAATGGTTGTATCTGTGAAAGAATGAGAGTTGAGAATGTATAGTTCTTTGATGACTGTGCCTGCTCCAAGAACCTTGTCAGTCTTGAGGTCCTGCAACAAGCAGAAATCATCAAAGAACTTAAAATAGATTCCTGAGGTTTGTGCTAATTTTCTGATAGAAAGAAGATTGTGCTTAAAGGTGGGAACATGCAACACTGAAGTAAGAGTGATGATGCTAGAAAGAGTTACTTCTCCTATGTTTTCTACTGAATTGACAGTTCCATCAGGAAGAAACACAGGAGTATAAGAAGCTACTGATTTAAAAGTGGTAAAGGCTTGAATAGAGTAGCACATATGTCTTGTGGCTCCCGTATCAGTTATCCAAAAAACACAACTTAAATCAATCACATTTGAACTTAAATGAGCAATGACTGAGCTACCTACAAAATCATTGAATTGTGTATAGTTGACTGATAGTCCTGATCCTGTTTCAAGTGCTGGTCCCTTTCCCTTCAGAAGCTTACCAACCTCTGTTTGTACCAAGCTTGATAAAATGTTCTACCAGTTGCCTTTCTCTTGACCATGCAATTGCAAACTTCCAGATGATTGTGGTGACCAATGATGCACTGCTTCTGAACTCTGTGTCCAAAGAGCCTTCTGTGGAGCTTCCAACTCAAGAGGAGTATCCACCAAGTGTGCTGTATGAGCTTTAGTATAATTGGGTCCCTTTTGTGTTCCCCACCAGTCAAGAAATCTGTTTAGCAGAAAACAATCTTCCTTTAAATGCCCATTCCTCTTGCAGTAAGTACAGTACAGCTTCATCTTTTCTTTCTTAGACTGCATTTTCATTTCCTTGAGGTTTGCTTCTGCTTTCTTGTTCTGTTGGACTTGCTGTATTGGAGCTATTTGTTTAGGTAAGAGACTGGCCTGATTTCCCATATTGTTTTTTTATCTTTGCCATCATTGCAGTGTTTTCCAACTTGATCATCATGCTTGTACTGACATTCTTCTATGTTTATTCTTTTAACACCATTGCAAATATAGTATCCACATCAGGCAGTGGATTCATCCTAAGAATCTCATTTCTGATGGACTCATAGCAATCATTAAGCCCCATAAGCAGTTGATATGCTTATCCTCTGCATCTCTATCATCAAAGTGTTTCTTTCCAGCACAAGTACATGAAATTGGAGATCGCCATTGATTATATTCATCCCATAGCTTATTGATCATGTTATAGTATTCAATCATATTCAAGTCTCCTTGACTAATAAAAGCCAAATCTCGTCTAAGTTGATAGACTAAAGATCCATTGATCTTCCTATATCTGATAGCTATAATATCCCAAAGCTGTTTAGAATCTTCAATATACATGAAACTACTGACTTGTGAAGGTTCAATAGCATTCAATATCCAAGACCTTACCATACTGTTTGCTCTAGACCAGCGACTTAAAGCAATTGTGTTTTCTGGTGGTTTCTTACAAGTTCCATCAATAAATCCTAACTTAGCCTTAGCATTGAGAGCAGTTATCCTTGCCATTCTCCACATCAAGTAATTAGATGTTGTCAAAGGAGTGCTTACCAAAAACATTCCTGGATTATCAGATCCATGAATTTGCAACTGCTCTTTCATGAACAGCTCCATTTCCCAATCTTCATTCCTCTGTCTTGAGTTTCCTTGATCCATTTCTACAATTCTTGCATGACCAATTGCAGCTTCAAGCTCATCTACTCGAAGATTTTCACTGCGCATCGATCCAACTCGAATCGGCTCCATTTTTCAAAATTCCAGTGAGGTTTTGCAGCAGAAGACTAGAAGTAGTGATTTCTCGACTCAGATCAGACAAGATTACTCCTGCTCTGATACCATGAGCGAGATTTGGCTCACAAATGTTCTTAGGGTTTAAGTGAATAGAATGACAAAATTTGAGAACTAAAAGAAACGCGTTTAATGTGTCTGAAAACATATGCTATTAAGTGTCCTGATTCTGTATTATACATGCTAAGGCGGTTTGAGTTGAGTAACCACCATGGTGTAAATGACTAATCTATCCTTACCAACAGGCTTATAGCACTATATAAAAGAGGATAGATCAGTACAAACACATGTACAAGTTTGAATGTTTGAATCTGCAATTCCCGCTATTATCACTGGATGCACATCCATCAACATAGGATGAGCATCACCAGTCACAGAATGCACATCATGCTGTTGATCCTGCTTTGATTCTAGCTGATCATCAGACTGTAATTCCTTCAATCTGCAATAAAAAAAGGTTGAAGCAATATTTAGGAGGTCGTGAGCTTCCCCTTAGGGTACTGAACTCAATTCAAGAGGAATAACTATTCTGCAACTTTCTATGCTTGCGAGGCTCTTGCCATTCCAATGGTAGAGATTAGAGGTAATTTTGGTGTCTACTCGGGCAATTTGTTTCTCATGTGAAAAAATAACTTCGTAATTCTGTCATTGCAGGTTTTTTGAACATGTTTTGACAATGAAGTTCACTTTTTTTTGTACTGTAAATGAGGCTAACGTCTAAGTAATAACAACATTTGGGAGGTGAATATTCTTAACGATTCCAACCACATACGTGAACAAGAAAATATCTTATCACAAGATTAAAAAAAACAAATTATCACTATTCCACGTGTTTGAAACAACGCTTTAAACATTCCAAATGATTTAACTCATAACAAAAGTTTGACTGGAATTGAAGACATGAACCTCAAAGGCTACTTAGGACAATTGAGTCTCTTCGTTATCAATGAAGTTAACTTTAATTTGCATTTCCTCTTTCTTCCCCCTATTAAAGATAAAGAGCAAAAGAGATAGTTCTTGATAATGAGTCTTAGAGATTACTAATTTATCTTTAATATTTAAATAAAAGTAGTTACCTTACCATACTTATCAAGAATGTATCTAAGCCTATAAGAAGGAACATGGTGTACTAGATTCATTGTGAAAAATTTACAAGATGTAGTCTTTCACCTCTTTAGTTTGTGTTCACTTTTATTTCTAATAATCTAATACTCCCTCCATTTTGAAATATATGTCGTTTTATGATTTGGTAAATTTTTTTAAATATATGTCGTTTCACAAATCGAGGTATATTTGATCACTTTTTATCAATATTACCCTTGCATTGGAAATAAAACAGTATTTATAATAAATTTGTATTGATTTGTGATGAATTGTATGGACAATAAATAAGGATATTTTTGTATTTTAACTACACTAATTAATGTGTTCTTAGTTTTGATGATTTCTCTAGAAAGACATATAAAATAAATGGAGGGAGTACCAATTTTCTTCCCCCCCCCCCACCCCCCAAAAAGAGAGAATCATTTGGACAACAGTTTCCACGAAATTAACTCACAAGGACACTGCCAATAGATGTGATTTGAATAGTCAAATAAGATATCTGCGTCCTCAGGAAATTGAGAATTTGATTTTTACTACACTTATACAATAGGCAGGTAGCTAAAAGAGAAAATGAACACAATCTTGTGCATGTTTTCTTGTCCTTGATTCAAGTCTTAAAACCTTTTCCATATATTAAAAAGCATCAGACTCCTTTTTCTAAAAAAAAAAATTTATTTTTGTTATACTCTTTATGTCTCAAAGTGATAATTTGGTTTGAGTTTTTATTTTTTTAAAAAAAATATTTAGAGAGCATGAATTCAAAAGCAAAATCAAAACATCCCAAAATAAAAAAAAAAAGAGAAACAAAATCAAAATTTGTAGAGAACAAATTTATATCTTCCAAACTAAAAATTGACATTAATAGCTAATTAATGAAGTCGAAAAATTAAGAAGCTCTTTTTATCTCTCATATTTCATTATTCATTTATTCTATTTCATTATGCTGTTTCGTTTATGGTGTATCACTGTATCTTAAGGAAAAAAAGAAAGCAAGCAGACGAATGAAAATGTTATGAGTACAACTGATACCTCATGGGATTTCTTTAGGAAACATGGGCTTTGCTGAACTGGTTTGTTGCTCCCTCCCTTATGCTCTTTGCTCCTCTTGGATTTACTCTTGTTTTTATGCTTGCCTTCCACTTGTGCTGGACTGCACAGACAGTCGAGAACATTCACTTGTCCAAACCCTCCACCTTTTTCTTCCTCGGTGACTCTTTTATGGAGGGGTTTTTCATCCCAGCATGATATCATTGGGACAGCTCTCTTGTGCTTTCCAATCTTGTACTCACACCAATCCAATTATGTGAGCTTGGTGAATAAGTTGTCACTCCCCAAAAAAAATAAATATCTACTTAAAACTATTAGCTAGTGGTAATCAGGGTCGTTCCACAAAGATGGCAGTTAATCGCTTAATTTTTGATTAATGTGCAAACTAAAGAAAGTAAGTTGACCAGATTTGTCATTCAAAAGAGTGAGAATAGTTACTTGACAGAGTGTAGAGATAGAAGAATCAATCACTTTCCTATCTTCATGCTCCAGTTTTGATTCATATAATCCTGTAGTGTATGATTTATTGTTTGATCAGGCACATATATTCTTTATAATTCCTCTCAGACAAAATAAAGAGTCCTATATTAACCAAATTACCTACCTCTCAGTCAGTGTAATTCATTAATCTAAGCCATTGAGTTCTTAAGCCCTATATGATCACCTATGCAAATGCACCTAACTCTCGTTGATGATTGAAACCAAATCGTGGATTTTCTCCTTTGTCATAGACTAAATTAAACCATTCTAAAGTTATTTTCGCCCTCTCAGATCTCCATAACTATGCATGCACATTCAATTAAATGGCCAGTTTAATGAAATGGTTAATTAAAGCACTTAACTAGACACAATGCCTCACCAACGAAACTGAATCAAAACCTTCGCATAAAGATAGTAGGGATTGAACCCTTAACTGAGTTAGCTACTCATGTTTAGTGAGCTAAACATGAGAGAAACAGAGTACAAAAGATCACACATAATTAAGCTCAAAAGGGTTAGAGGATAGAAGGGAAGAGTGGCAGCACGACAGATTCTGTCTGCTCATTTTGGCGAGTAGCGTTCGCCACTTGACAGGGTGACAGTCTGCACTCTAACGCCTGTTGCTACCCCGTTTTTACCAAATTAACTTAACTAACTACTACTGTCTTTGATTGATTCTAACTACCCAATCTGTTCTTTTTCTAACTGCTATTGACTAACTATTTATAGAGATTTTGAGAGGCTTGG